TAATAATAATAATAATAATAATAATAATAATAATAATAATAATAATAGTCCAATTGATCTGGTAAATTATTTAATTGTTAATTTTATTTCATTCCAAAAGTGATATTAATTAGGAGATACGAAAGGGAAATTTTCGGTTAATGGAAAATTCAATTATCTTATTTGTGTGTAACATCATCAAATGAATTTCTAATTGTAAATTACATTCTTAAAACATTTTTCATACTTTTTTAATTCATAAATTTTATACTTCCATAATGTTATCACAGAGGTTTAAGGTTTAATTGTTCAGTCTAATAGGACATAAAAGGTTGACAATTTAATTTTGGAATAATGGGAAATTTCGTTTTTTTTTTTTCCAAAATGAACACCAGAGGTTTTTCTTTTTTTTTTAAATTGAATAAAAATTTTATGAGAATATAATGAAAACAATGAATTTAATTAAATTGTCTTTTTTTTTTTCTTTCAGGCATCAAATTTGCTAGTTTTGGGTAATGGTTCAGCAGCTACTGGTACAACTCAAATTAGCGCATCTGCTTTGGATATTTCAGCATGCACCCAACAACAACCAAATTCGGTGCTACGTGTTATCATCGAGAATATGTTATATCCGGTAACACTCGATGTACTCTATCAAATATTCTCCAGATATGGCAAAGTTCTTCGGATTATTACATTTAATAAAAATAGTTAGATTTTTATCTTTTTTTTTTCCCCAAATTTCTTAAACATACACGCATATATATATATCGGTATAATTTGGTACCAAAATTAGCTATCACGGTATCAATAAAAGATGTGACTTTTATTTTGCTACAATAAAGAATATTTATTTATTGATTTTTTATTATTTTTTTATTCTTCCAATTATACAATATCACAAAAGTATGATGTATAATTTGATGAATAATATTTCTTATTAAATAATTTCTTAATTATTTCTAATTATTTCTTATTAAATTATTTCTTATTAATTATTTCTTATTAAATTAAATCTTATTTATTAAATAATTATTATACAGCTATCATATATTGATCAGGTTACTTAAATTAAGCCAAATTTTTTCCTAGAAAGCTTATAATATGAATTATTTTATTAATTAATTATTCCTTTTGAATGTATCATTAACTAAGCAATTGATAGAATGCTAATGATAGTAATGGACATGTTCTGGAAATATGAAAAAATAAAACAGCACGAATGATGATGAAGTAATTTTATGTTTAATAGATTATGAAATTAAAAAGTTTGTGACAAATGACATAGCTAACATAGCTAAACTTTTGTCCTATCAATGCCTTAATTAGTAAGTATGTCTTATTGGAAAAGTGATTGAATGATTAAATTAATTACAATTTGGTTGTTAAAAGTTCGATCAGTTAATTTAAATGAAAGCAATGGATAAATTAATCTATTTTATTGGTGCAAATATTTAATGTTCATGTCATTTTTTTTTTTTGTCTTCTTTATTCCTTTTTTAGATACATTTCAAGCATTGGTACAACTTAGTGAAGCAAATAGCGCCCAATTAGCACGACAATCATTAGATGGCCAAAATGTTTACAATGGATGTTGTTGTCTTCGTATCGATTACAGCAAACTTGCTACACTTAATGTTAAATACAATAATGATAAAAGTCGAGATTATACCAATCCAAATTTACCATCCGGTGAATTAACTCTTGAACAACAGCTTAGTCTTGGTTTGTTTAAGCTCTTATCAAATTGCATCAATTAATCCGTTATTAATAGAGGAAATCATAATAGAGAATTGATATAGAATAAATTTGAATTAATTTTTTTTTATAATTAATTCGGGTAGCATCATATTTGTTAGGTTAAATTTGATCGAGAATTAGTAAATTAATTGTAAGTGAATGATATAGATTAACATAGAATAGGAATAAATTCGGATTAAATTTTTTATAATTAATCCGGATATCATTCTTCTATTCATTAGATTAAATTTGATATCGAGAATTGATAAATTAATTGTAAGTGAACGAATTGAATAATTGATCATTCATTATTTTTTTATCATATCCAAAGTATAAGATTATCATTTTTGTTTGCATTATTGATGTAATTGTAAAGTACTGTAATTGTCAAATTTGCGGAAAAAAAAGGTAACAAAAAAAATGTGATGAAAAGTATGGAATTTGCTAAACAATTTATTTATTAAAATAATCGAGACAGTTTATTTATTCGTTTTGATAATGAACAAAAAAAAAAAGAAAGAAAAAACTTTGTCACTTTTAAAATTTCATACTGTATAATTTTAAAATAATCATTTTTTTTTGTTTTTTTCTTGACAACGATAATCTTACTTTGTCACTTTTAAAATTCCATACTATATAATTTTAAAATAATCACTTTTTTTTTTTTCTTGTTAACGATAATCTTTACGTTTCCTTCTTGCCATTGGAATATTTCAGTATCAGCAGCAACGGGTGGACAAATGGGTCCAGCAATTGCATCACTTGTACAATCACCATTTGCTTTTCCGTTTGGTGCAGCAAATCCGCAATATGCTTTTCAACAACAAGCTACAGCATTTCCGCAAGCTGGTATATTTGGGGGAGAAAAAAAAATTTACAATACTTTAAAATTTTTGAAATTTCTTGGTTTTTTTTCTTTTTAACGAATTTAAACTGAATTTTTTTAGATGCATTAGCATCACCAACCGGAATTTCACCATTTCTTACTGGTTTAACAACAACTCTTGCATCCGGTGCAACAAGTCCGGTAACAGCAAATGCAGCAATGCTTAATGCTACCGCAGCGGCACTTCGTTTTCCACATGTCAATGTCCTAAATATATCATCTGTTATACTTGTCTCCAATCTAAACGAAAATGTTAGTGTCACTTTATTTTTAATAATTCATTTTGGAAAATTTGGTATTATTTCACTTTCAGTAGTTCATTTTAATATTTGTCAATTTTTTTTTTTGTTCTTTTTTTTTATTTTTGTATTATTTGCTTATGCTTTATATTATTTATTTAAAGGCAATGAAAGAACTTATCGTAACTTTCATAATTTTTACTTTTTTTTCCGTCCTTAAAAAGTTTTATAAATTTCGTGCACAAATTTATGGAAGATTTAAATTTATAATTAGCTTTAATTTGCATACAAAATGACAAGTAGTAAAATGCATATGAAATATTAATCTTTGACCAAGTTAAATTAATGTTGTATCATTTAGTTCTGAACATTTTTTTTTTCAATGAAATTTTTTCGAAATTATTAGAGAAAGAACAACGAAAAAAGGAATTGTTTCGGAAAACTTAGCTAGTTTCAGTATGAAAATCATTTTATTGCAAAAATGTCATCAAGGACTAAAGATGTCACCAGGGACTAAAAGATGCCAATATTTCTTGACCCATTATACCAATCTCTTTTTTTTTTTTTTATGCCTCTCTTCAATTGATCAAAGCCCATAAATTATAGCCCTGGGAAAGGATGATGTAACGTTTACTTTTATATCAAATATTTTTTTTTTTTGAATGATTAAATTACTA